TGAGTGACTGAATGTCTCGGTTACTAATGCAACCCTCATTCCCTGAAGGAGGGAACGGGAGACGTTACATCCCGTCACCACGGTTGCTCATAATCGCTGTAATTGACGTCAGGTTCTTGGCTCCTCAGCGAAAAACAATGACCCATCTGCAAATTTAGCTGTTTTAGGTGTTGATGGCAAGGAAATGTGTTTTAATATTCATCATACTTATCTAAATCAATTAACGTTAGCTAAATATCTCTAATTGGCACATTACTCTTTGGTTGCTTGCCATGGATCTCCAGCGGCAGATCACACACAACCTTTGGTCATTAATGTGTCTGCTCGGTTAAACATTAGCGTTTTACCTCAGTCAACATCGCAGATCTTACACAACCAGTGCTGATCAATCAATAAATTGTGTGTGTGTTCAAATATTATTGCAACTACATTTGTGGTTCAGCAAAGTCTTCTTTTTTCTTCTTCTTTTTTTTAATAAGCACAAATCCCCTAAAAGATCGCAAAAAAATTAAATTTACTTTTTCCACCCATCTCATTTTTTTCCCCACCACCATGTTCCTTTAGGGGCTCTGGAATGTTTAGGGTCTTGTAAAAAATGTTAAGAAAGTATTTGTCAGCATAATGCATGCAATGTACAGTGTGTGTGTGTGTGTGCACTTATCGATGGGTAGAAAACTGGAACAACCTTTAGCCTTTATTTTGCAAGACACCCATGTCTTATCAGATGCAGTAAGAAATGCTGAATACTGAAAGGAGGAATGAGAGAGGAATAGAAGGAATTAAGTTATGCACTATCATGCAATAAAACGTTTGTCTTCTCTCACACATGCATGCAATTAACAGTTGTATGCATACATCTACATAGTGTATCTGTTCAACCATAAGTGCAATTTTATGACGAAAAGACAAAGGTTCATGATGGCAATAACTTGGAAGAATGATTACTGTAAGTTATTATTTTTATGTAGCATGTGAGCAGCATCCACATCTCCAGGACTTACTTTGACTGGTGGTGACAGACAGGTAATGATAGTGTGTGCCCTAAACTTTGTCAGTGTTTGTCACTGCAGTGAAATTAAAACACTCTTAAGAGCAAAAGCTCTCCATTAAGTTTAACAACAAGCAAGCTACTCTGGTGTTGTTGATGTAAAATAGCAATGTGCGAGGTTGGAAAGGCTACCAAAATGAATAAAAATGGCCCCAAAATTCAATACATGAATTGCCCTTGCAAGAGTTCATGTGCTTTGTGTTTTATAGTTAAGCAATATCAAATTAGCAGCACAATTCGAATATCAGCACAATGGGCTTTATGCCCAGCTGCACTACTTCCTGACCTTCAGCCAGCTCCTTGTTTCCTGTCTGCCATTATTGGTCAAATTGATTAATTCAGGTGTACCTGACCTCAGTAGTCATGGCAACAATAATCAGACACACCTGAATTAATCAATTTGGCCAATAATGGCAGACAGGAAACAAGGAGCTGGCTGAAGTTCAGGAAGTAGTGCAGCTGTGCATAAAGCCAATTGCAAAATGTGATATTAATTTTATACAACAGTTCAATAAACGATAAGTTGAAAAAATTTATTGACAATTTTAGAAACAAAAATAGTTCCAAACAAAGCAGAAAAGTTGAATCTCACAGCAGCACACTGCAGTGTTTCATTATTGAATTATTTACCATTTTTGAACAAATCGGCATTGCGGAAGTTCTGAAATATCGAACCGTTACTGACACCAGTGGCCGTTAGAGAAACTGCAGCCAGTCTCGTTCTCGGTGCGCACGCTCGTTGGCCATACTAGAGAAGGCTTTTTTTTTTTACTTACGAGGAGTTTCTGTGCGTATCTGGTTTGTGCTGGAGGCTGGTTGCTTCTTTCCGTCCGCCAAGCCCAAGTAGACGAGAACGCGCATGACGTCACATTTTGTGAATTTTCACGCCAATTCGGACCCGACTCAGGCTGAAAGAGGCAACCGTGGTGGACAGTCAAGGTGTCATTCTTTCTAATACTTTACGGTTGGCTCATAAATGTAGAAATAAAGACTTTATCTTAAAGATCTTTTTTAAGTAAAAACCTACACATAGCCCCTTTTAGGCTTGCCACCGCCAATTTGAGGCTTTAGTGTTATAATAATATAATAACATTTTTCCCAAAACTTTATTTCTGCATCCAAAATGTTATATTTAGAAAATTAATCTCTTAATTCATAATTGCAGTGTAGATTTTTGAAAAATGGTAAGATGTATTTTTGGGGTGGTAAAATGCCATTTTCATAAGATGTAAAATAAATCTCTGATGTCCCCAGAGTGTGTGTGTGTGTGTGTGTGTGTGAAGTTTTAGCACAAAATACCCCACAGATATTTTTATATTGCATGTTAGTTGTCTTTTAGAATATCTAAATTAAAAAAAAAAATAAGATAGAGAAATCTTGTCTTAAACAACACTATAGGCAGCCTACAGGCTGTACAGGACATTGCACACATGTAACTATTTTTTAAAGCCACAAGGTGGCGCTCTTCTACTTGAATTTTTTTTTTTAATAAAGCTGGCACTCTATTTTGATGTGAATTGTTGCATTTATTGAAAAGAAATAAATATAAAATAAATATGTATATATATATATATATATATATATTAATTCTAATGAAAAAAAATAGCTCTTAAAAATTATATAATTAATGCAAAGTACCATAAAAAACTCTGAAAAGTCTAAATAATAATCAGAAAATATTATAGAACAAAAATATATTTGAGGGAGTTATCCTGGGAAAAAGTAAAGTTAAATTTTAAGGCTTCGTCCGTTTTTGACCGGGAGGAAGCTAAGTGTAACCCATTTACGAAGAAGCCCAGAGGGTTAAAGTTGTCACTTTTTGAGGGTTTGCAAAAACGCACCGTTTTGTGTCTGGCCCTTTAAATGCAAATGAGCTGCTAATGAGTATAAATAAATGAGTACTTTATGAGTATAAATTCATTTGTATTATACGTTACATATTTCATATGATTGTATTAAATACTGCATATATCATTTTACCAAAACACTGTGTATAATCAAGTGCACTTGAAAATCTTTTGTATTTAATTGTGATACATCCATCAGAAAGACATATTTTGGTGCCTACAGAGCTAATCAAAAACACTGAAGACAAAAGGCTTGATTTCCATGGTTGAAATTCACACTGAACCTGTGATATCTGTTAGTTTTAGTTACAGTTTGATTATGATAATCAACATCTTTACCTCACTGTGGTCAAACTAGGCCCCCTGGTGGATAATAATTGAGAACCCATCCTTATGTATTGTAATCAGCATAATAAAGTTATATATTTTGTTTCAAAAACTGGGATGAAGACAAAGCTAAATACACAATATGCACTAGAAAACAGAACTGTTAAATAATTTAATTATAACTATTAGTTCATATTCACCATCTGGCTGATAACCGTTATGCCTTTATACATGAAGAGTTCAGATGCAAAAGCCTCTAAATGCCATTTGAAATTTTCATCTTTAATGATGATTTTTATCAAACTTGTATATTTAAGTTCAGTAATTTCACTTAAATAACAATTAATAGGTAATTATCATTGCCATTTAAGTGAAATTACTGAACTTAAATATACAAGTTTGATAAAAATTATCATTAAAGAACAAAATTTCAAATGGCATTTAGAGGCTTTTGCATCTGAACTCTTATATACATTGATAAGGGCCAATGGAGGGAGGTTACACCCCTACTCTTTTTTACGAGCAGTTCCATGGGATTTTTCATGACCACAGAGAGACAGGACTTTGGTTTAGTGTCTCATCCAAAGGAAAGTAGATGTATATATGGGGCCTTAGGTGCACCAGGGCACCCATTAAACCATTAAAATGGCACAAAAACTTGTCACAGCACTTTCCAAAACATCTGCTGGTCCTTGACTCCTTTTTTTAAAATGTTAAAAATTAATTAAAAAAGTAATTAAGAATTTGTTTTAAATTAATCATATTATATAAAACATATATAATTTATTGTTACTACTGTAAATCTATATTAAAGTGTCCCTATTATGCTATTTTAAAATTTCCTAATTTTGTTTTAGAGTCTCCTACGACAGGTTTACATGCATCAAATGTAAAAAAAAAAAACTGTTTTATTTTCTCATAATGTACATTTGCACATCACCACTTTTTCAATGATTCTCCTCACATGAATCAATCTCTCTAAAAACCCAAGGGGGTAATCAATCCATCAGCCGGAAACCGAAGTTTACCTTGGGGACCACCACTGATTAGCAAACACCTGCTGTTAGCATTCCATTTTGGCGTCACTTTGACAGCGAATAACTTTACATCTGAGGCGTTTAAAGACTCCATTTTCCATAGTTCATTTCTAAAGAAACACGACAATGTTTAAAGGCTCCATATATGGAGCTCCATTCGTGTAATATCTTCATTTGTGTTCCGAAGACGAACGAAGGTCTTACGGGGTTTGTATGCTACAGCATGGGGGTGAGTAATTAATTTTGGGTGAACTAACCCTTTAATTTAAAATTAACGATAATTTTTTGGCTTCAATATCTCGTGGAAATGAGGTTTTCCCTTAGCGTAAGATATTGCAATACTCGTTCCCTTTTCTAGAGAGAACCCGAGGTTACGTTAGTAATCGAGTAGCCTACGTTTTAGTTGATATGTTTTTCTACAATCATACACTATGGAACATATACATATGTACCCTATATGTATATAATATTATTTGTATCAAATTTGTATAACTGATTTTCCTGCATACTGTACATGCGTCATTGCCCTGTGTCAATAAACTGAACAGATATCAAATAAACACTAAAAGGAATGCATGATTCATTTTGGGCTGGGACGTGTCTTTTTATATTTAATGCGTTTGGCATTGACATTTATAGAACACAGTTTCTCTTATCGCAAAATGTTTTATGACTGTAAGACTGTATCTTTATGAGATTTCTCTCTTTCAATTCTTCCCATTTCACCTTGAGAGATTGAAATTACACTTATAAGTCTATTTTTGCACAACACTAAAAGGTCTGTGACCGTGAGGGGAAGGTGATTTCAATTCCTGTTAAGTGCTGTAAAGGGACAGAATATAAACCACAGGTGTAAAGACACAGGCCTCTCCAGACCTCCCGCAACCTTTGGATTTTTCATTTTCCAGACAACCGTCGCACAAAGCTTTGGTGAGTAAGCGCCCTTGAAAAAGGGATCTGAATTTCTGAGAATGCAATTATTTTTCTGAGAATATCACACATTCAAGTGTTAAAATGACTTTGAAACTGCCTGGAATTGCATTTAAATAAATAAATAAATAAATAAATAAATAAATAACAATTGTCATCATTTATACCCTCACATCACCCTTTTCCTTTAGTGATAGTCTGAGAAATGTCTTTTGTTTTTCCATACAATGAAAGTCAATGGGATCCAAACTTTCATCTCTAGCAAAATATGAATTCATTTGAAGAATGTTTATCCAAAACATTCCACAAATCATATTTGTTCATGTCTTTTTATCATTAAGGGCAGCTGGCACACTTACAAAGATGAAAGTATTGGTCATCATTCTGCTCCTGCTGTGCTGTGTCAGTCCTTTAAAAGGTAGCCTAATCTATCAAAGCCTGGTGCTTTCAAACAGATCCAAATGCTGCATGTTTTAACATATAGTACTCAAATAATTCGAATGCATTATGCCTGAACAAATTGCTAATATTTAATTCTCTCTGACCAGCGGTCACCATAGAGTCATGTCCATTGGCCATCGGGAGCTTGCTAAAGACAGAGGTTGAGGAAACCGTCACCCTAACTTGTAAGACCGATGCAGGTATTGAACCATCCAACTCCGAACTGCAGTGGTTCCGCAATGGAGCCAGAGTGAATCTGGCACAAGAGAACCGCCAGTCCCGGAGTAATCTGTGTGTACAGTCTGTCAAGAAAGAGGACAACGGAGTCGTCTTTACCTGTCAGCTGAAGGGGGACGCAAGTGTGAACGGCTCCATTAAGTTCGACGTCCACTGTAAGTTTAATGTTCAGAATAGAGTAAACAGGAATATATTTCTATAATAATTAATAATAAAAGTATAACTTTATTATTCTTCTCAACCAAAGGTTGAACACATTTTAGTCACTATATTTTATTGAGAGGAGTATGTAACTTAACTCAAACTGATTGAGCCATCTCTATCATCTGGTTGAGGTATATTACTAGATTTCACAGTGTCAATCAACAGCACTTGTCACAACACTTCTTCTAACAATTAAATCACCCCAGCCATGTGAACTGTTTTTGGAAATTTCGCAAGCTAAGCATATTTTTTTTTACATATTACACTGTAAGAGCTCTATCTTTACAAAATGATGTTACTTGGTGCTATGAAAAAGCTTAAGTGTATTTTTAATAATTTTTCAAAAACATGCTCAACCAAACGGTTGATTTTGCACATAATGGTTAACTGTCACCCCCTTTTTGAGAATGGACATTACAATGAACTTGGTTGTAATTCAAGTATGCTTTGGAATAAAGACCTTAGTCTTGTTTTAAAGAAAACACTCAGCAGATTATTGCTGAAGTAAAAGCACTTGAAAAAATAAAAGAAGTTTTAAATTTACATTAAATCAAATATACTGTACGAAATATTTTTTATTTTATATAAAATATATATTTTACAAAATATTTTTTTCCTATAAAATTACTATAAAATCAAAGCCATATATCTTACCAAGTTGTGTTCCAAATTTGAAGTTGATATCACAAAAAATGAAGATTTTAAGCGTAATACCAAAAATGACATAAAAACCATTGAATTTAATTCTATGCATTTTGCTGAAAAAAAAATAAATAAATTTCCGTCCAGATATCACTTCTGTTACAAAATATGTAACCTTGAGACTCAGACCTTTCTGACAAATGTGTTTTGTCAAGACTAGAAAAAGTTTTGATCATAAATTATGAAAAGTATAGCAAAGTATGTGTATGAATTCCGTTACCATTACCATTAAGTGACATCTCAACCATTTGGTAGAGGCCGATATTTTAAGAATTATGGGATGTGTTAAAAAAAAAATACATTGAGTGTGGTTACTAGCGACATAAGAAGATAAGAAATGCAAACAAATCATTTTTCCATCACTTTTTTCTTGGTGCGGACTTCAAAAGGGATATAGAAAAGAATCATATGACCACTGACCAGAAATTGGGCCTATTTACTTCAATCGCATAAGTGCTTTACTGTATCCTCATTTGTTGTTGTTTTTAGAAAATGTGAGGCAAAATGAAATTAATGAATAGTAATTGAGCTTAAGTTTGAATCTGGAATATTTCTTTAAATGAATTAGATTTCAGTCAAACTGATTCATTTTTTTTTTCCTGTATGCATGTAAAACAACATAAGCAGATATGGTCAGATATTGTTTCATTCTAAGCTTTGAATGCCATTATATTACAGACCCTCCAGACCTTAATGACACTAAAGAAGTGTTTGTTGAGGAAAAAGATGATGTTGTTCTGTCCTGTGATGTACGTGCCAACCCTCCTGTTGCTCTGGTTTGGAAAAGGGATGGTAAAGTTCTGGATCTGACCACGGGTAGATACAAAGCGACCAATAACGGCATCACCGCTGAGTTGTCAATCCGAAAAGCTGAGCGGGATGTACATCAAGGAACGTACGTCTGTGAGGTAACCTCATCCGTCTATGGAGTTGTGAGCAGGACTTTTACGGTTACGGTTGAAGGTTTGTGGTCCCTTTTTTATCCTCAATTTTTCTTTGATATTCTGCTTGACATTTATGTTCAGTTTAAAGTATGTTCCCCTTCTCTTCCCTTAGATCGAGTCCTAAAGTTCCCTGTAGGGCCCACGATTGCTGGAGTGGTGGTGGTTTTATGCACAATTGTGTTGGCACTCATCTCTAGGAGGGATAAAATTATTAAGGTATGTCCTCTTCGTTTTGTTATCGTCATAACTAATAATATAAAGACAAAAGTGATGTTTAATATAGGCCTAACTCCGATCTTTAAATCAAAAACTATCTGAAACAACAGAAACTTTTGTGTCCTATAGTGCTGCAAACGAAATTGAACATCTCCAAATGGAATTGCATCTCAGGCATTCAAACCATTGAGCATTGAGGAGAACAGACTGGAATTCAAGCAGCCATTACTGTACTGGTTGCAAATGGGATGGAACCAGGATGGCATCCCTCATAAATATGAATTACTAACTCAAAAAGATGTTTTGTTATTGTTAAATTATAAGGTGAAAATATGTCTGTCAAACAACTCTTTATCCTTGATTATTTCCGCATGTGTTTCTCCCCATTCTAATGTTGTTGAGCAAATACTTTGTCTCTGAGTTATGCTGCAAAGACACAGCCTCTCCTATATATTGTGTTTGTTGGAGATACTGTAAAATAAAGTCATTAAAGTGAATTGCAATATATTTTATATTCTCAAGGACGAGATTTGACTTGTGTAAATAGTGCAAAAATCATTAACCTTTATGATTTTGTTAAAGGTTAAATTTATTTTCCACTTTATTATAAGATTTGGATACTTTCGCTGTTTTCTTGGTTCATTGTCATTCTAAGACAAATAAAAATTGAATTATATTTCAAATTTGTTGGACATTTACTTATATTTTTTAGTTAAGCACAAGCTTTAGAATGTTACAAAATACTAAAATGATCACAGCTGTTAAATATTTTGGGATATTTATGCATTTGAGACTTTATAAGACGTTTTGCCATCATTCGAGGTGGTTCTTTCATAATGAGCTTTGCTGTTTATGTATTTAACAGTTTAAAAAGTTATCTCTTTGTCTCTATGAATATAGACAGTTTATCATAACAATAGCGCTCCAAAACAAAGAACCGCGGGTTACGTCGCATTTAGATTGCGACGCAGCTGCATGTTTGGCCAATCAGAGTGGAGGAACGGGACATGGTGGGCGGAGTCTGACTTCCACAGGGAGTGGTCCGCCAAATTCAAACAACCGGCAGCCACAAGAAACAAAGCAAAGGATAGTTTGACTTCAGAAGACTCTACGATTTTGGGAAAAGAACGGTAAGATTTGATTTTAACGCCATAGTCAATGCAATGCGTCTTTTAGACGAATTTGTTGTGTAAAGCATTTATTGTTGTTTTGTTCAATGTTGCGTTGGGTCGCTAACTTTTTAAATTATCAATGCTTTGTGCTCTTCTACTCTGCGCTAACTTTACTAACATCTTGGAGAATAATCTTCAGTTTCGTTTTATTATCACTTACTATTTTCTTTTACAAACAAACATCAAGCTTGTGATCAGTTTATTTATCAGTTGAAACCGAGAGGCAGCTCTTCACAGAGTTCCTCCCACCGTCGTGGAAAACCTGGAAAAGTGATGTTGAATAAAGACATTTATTGCGTACATATTATTTGTTCTACACGGTGGACTTATAATTATGCTAATTTTAACAAAAAAGGGAAAATGTTACGGTAACAACCCGTTGTTCACTTTTCAACCTCCCTGAGAATGCATTGTTGCTGTTAAAAATACTGCAAAATGGTGCATCATTTTATTTGTTTACGCGTAAAGTCAACGTACTATTCAATAAGACAACACAAATAGGCCTACACATTTTTTTAAAGTCTTATTTGTTTACAAATAGGCATTTTTCCATCTCCCTAAGATTTCATGATGACGTCCACTATTGTGAGCGGGGTCTGGAGGTCGCACGCGGTCCTCGATGAGTCAGAGCCCGACAGCTCGCCCGAAGCCCCGCAGCAGTTTAAGAAGATGCGCTCCACCAGCTCGCTGAACTCGCTGAGAATGTCTCTGCGCAAGCGGCTGCCCCTGAAACCGGTTCAGTCCAACGTCAACATCTCGGAGAACCCCACCTGGGAGTCGCTACAGATGAACCAAAAGACCAGTGTGGTCCGCAAAATGACCCGCAGTGCAAAAAACTCCTTTGGAAACGTCTGTCAGGTGTGCTTAATATTTCTTGCCTAATAAACTGTGAATGCACATTCATTCAATCACTTGTTATACCGTATTGCGCCATTTTTAACAAGAATAAAAGCAAGGCTTTGAGGGATATACATAGGCTTCTGAACTATATAGTAGGCGAAAAACAGTATGTGACAAAATATCTATGTAATTCACAGTGTACTTTAGGCAAAAAGTACCCGTGACCACTGTTTACTATCTATGTTAAATTTACTATCCCATGAGGCCACGGGACATGTACACATTGTGAATGACAGTGAAGTGACAATAATTTTGTAATTTTATTTTTTAGTTCAATTGCAGACAAATACAGTGCAAAAAGTACAAGACAAATAGCATTGTGGTACAGTGATGTAAAACAAAGAATAATAAGAAGCGGCTTATCTGATGCTGATAGGTTGCATGATGATGACGACAACATGGTGAATGCAGTACGTCCAGATTTAATTCTTACTACACACTTATTATATAGAGTGTACTTTTAAGTGGGCTTGAAGTAATTGTTTATTCAAAAAAAGAGAGTAGTCTATTCGATTTCGGACACAGCCATATATCTCTTCAGTGGGTTATACTGTTATTTAATGTGTTTCTGGAGAAATTTCTGTAGACAAAAAACTCCAGACAACATGAATTAAATTACAAGTGATATAGTTGCTTTTTACAGTGCATGCCATTGAAAACACATTAAGTCTATCCCTCACAGCCTCTCTTTTATGCTATAGTATTAATGTAAATCAAATGTTTATTTACCCTCCCAAAAAATCCTATATTTTCATCTTCTTATCAGAAGTTTCAAAGGAGCAGACAGCCACGTCAGGAGTGTCTAGTCATGACGCCTGGTAGGACGTCAGGTGGAGAGGAGTGTGATTGCACTGGGGCATCACAAACCCCAAAGCGATCTTCCGCCCGTACTATCATCACCCCCAGGCAAACTCCAAGGTCAGTCAGCAAGCGGACCCCTCGAGGGGCCTGTACCCCGGACGCCAGTGCCCGTGCTGTTAGGACGGTGAAGACCAGGGGCACCAGGAGGCAGCTGGTGCGAATGGCTGCACTCAGAAGCCCTTTTGCATCACCCAACACCATGAACAGCAGGAGGTGAGACGGCACAGCTGCACGCACATTGCATTCTTGCTGATTTTAAATTGTCTAGTGTCCCCATGAAATCATTTGACGACAGCATTTTTCTTCATTGGGAAGTTGCGTGGGCAATATTTAAAGAATTAACCTTTTTTGTGTGTGTGTAAATAGTCCATTATGTCACTGATGTGAACTGTGATTTGGTCTTGCAGGTGTGTTTTTTTTTTGTGTGTAGTGACTTTTACACTATACCATATCTATAGCATACTCTGCAGAGTATTACAATTTTCAATTTTCTACATTTGCCAAAATATGTTGTGTAACAATTGAGCGCACTTTGTAAAACACTAGATCCCACAATTCTCTTTTTAAAATATTCATTAGAATTAGATTAGATGGTCAAATATTTCGACATTTTACACAAAATTGAACAAAAATTTTCAATAACAGTAACTATTTCAAAGATGTTGGATGCTGGATTCAGTGCTATTTTAGTATCATTGTGATACTATGGTTTTAAAGATTTAAATATTTATTTTTTTCTTTAATTTTAGTTTCAGTAATTTTGTTGTGTTTTGTAATTTTTTATTTATTTAAAAAAAAAAAAAAATCTTTCGATTCCCAGGGAAAGCAAGAACTGATAGCAATGTAAATGTGTACCTTGAAATGCAATGTAAGTCGCTTCGGATGAAAGCGTCTGATAAATGTAAATGTAATGTAATTATTCCAGTTTTAGTTAAGGGAAAATAATAAATGTTGCCTTGGGGAACTAGCTGCTTTTTTATTGCGGTTAAAGTTTATTTTGTTTTAATTAACACTTTTTTACGGTTTTAGTAAACTAAAATCACCCTGAACTGGATATTCGCCATCATCTATTATGCTCTCTAAAAGTTTTGGCAAATTTCAAAATGAATATCCATTTTCATGTTGTACATTATCCATGTTTCGATGCCTGAATCTCGTAACATTCAATGTGCTTGATTTTAGTTTTCAGTGTTTTATCTTTTAGTAGTTTGATTCAACATAATAGTGTCTTTATAAGTTATAAATCCATAACATAAAAACAATTATTGGCCAGATTTGGTGCCTGACCTTCAATAATTAGTATGCTTGTATTCCTTTCCAAACATTGCCCACGCCTGTAGATTTAAAAATAATATGTCTGACGGTTAATTTTGTCAATGCTTGGGAGAACATTAGCATGTAGATGACCTTAACGCCACCAAACATTAGGGATGACAAGAACAGCTTTGCACATGTGAATGAAACACATGATATCACATAATGGTTCTCTCCGTCCCCATGACAGGCAGTTTGATGAGGATCTGGATTGTGTGTCCAAAGGCCTAGGAAGGCTAAAACGTCTCTCTCAAGCCTTTGATGATGCGATTTGGAAAGATGATAGGTGAGTACAAAAAAATAAAAACCCAATAAAATGTTCATTCTGTAAAAGAAGAACTTCACCCCATTCATCTTTTATCAGTTCTTGAGATGCGTTCACTCAGGCACAATGTGTTTCCAGTTCCCGCTTATGACATCTTGCCATTTCCTGTTTGTAGTTTGGGAGGGTGCACCCCCTCCCCCCCAGACCCCAACGTTTCACTAGACAGCAGCTGCTCTGTACCGAAACCTCCTTAAAAACCCTTTACGTTACTGCACTTAGAGGGGTTTGCTTTGGGGAATTGTTGTCTATTGCTGGAACAACTGTGTGATTTAACTGTTTTAATAACGGTTATTTTTTAAGACATTGGGGTTGTTACAGTTTTTATCATGCAGCGCTAGTCTTAATATCTTCCAGCCCTTCCTCCTTATCCGAGGGACCCCGTTCCCTCCCCTTTTTTGAATTCCACACATAACTTTCCTCCCGCCAAGATTTTCAAATGTCTCAAAAGTCTCATTCCTTGGTTGGGCGGTCAGTCACTCTTAATCAATCCAGCTAAAGGGGTGATGATGATGATGAGCGTTTAGGGCTGATTTAAATCTGCTATATTCTAGTCAACAAGTTCAAGGCTTTCAGGCATGATCACTTGTAATATCTTTCTGAATTAAGTCCATTTATTATTTCTCCTCTGCAAGCGACAGGTTCAGAGAGTGTCTTTTGGATTAAAGCTAAGGTAAATGTTTTTAAGTATCTTTCTGAAGTTCTGCTTTGTTTATTCCATTATGTGAGTGTGTTTGTCCAATCTAAGAAGTCTGATTCGTGCAATCAGTGCCACACTAAAACCCGTGTGTATTGCATGATTAGTTATTAACCTACGCCAAACATGATTTAAGGAGCTTTACTTTCTAATATCAAACACTAAAAGGCATCTTACACACACTTTACAATGGCTGCTGCTTGATTTGCCCATTTCCTTGCAATTTTTTTACCATTATACTATTGTAATTCATCATCATGCCAATTCGGACAGATTCTTCAGCTCAGGACATTTTGAAAGCAAACAAATTGTATCTTAGATGATTAATGTTGCGACTCTGTCTGTTGCTCCTTTTTTTCTGTGTAACACCAAACGAGTTATTGCTAAAATGCCAACGCTGCACTTTTCCACACACTGAAAAACTGCATGCTGATATCTGCATTTTTGCTTATTAATGAAAATTATTAGTGCTGTCAAGTCAGTTAATTTTGATTAATCACACCTAACATAACATTTTGTAAGTATAGTGTGTGTGTGTGTTTACATTTTTTTTATGTTTAATGTGATTTATTATGGTTAATAAATTGGACAGCACCAAAAATATTATGTAACATTGGGATTTAAATACATTGAACACTAACTAACATAACTTTCACTCATGTAAATAACTGTTAATATGTGTTTTCTTCAGTCATGGTGTATTTCTAGATCCTGTCCCCCTTCCTCAATGCCTGGTCAAAAACCTATCTTGTCCTCGCTAATCAAAAGTGTTTTTTGTAACCAGTTAGGATTGCTGATGTATTGACTCGTTATGTAAAATTTGAACAAAAAAAAGCATAGTGTAACATGTAACTTAAGAAAATTAGAAATTTTTCTACAGGTTCATGTGTCGATTCGTGCACTATTATTTAAAGTAAACTTTGAAAGCCTCTGTATTCGGCTCCAAACATTCACATAAAAACTTGATGTGAAAATGTCAGCATAAAACGGAAGTTGCGATAGTTTTCTTTCGTTTTGTGACGTGTTCGAGACGGCTTCTGGAATAAGAAAAATATAGGGCAGGACTAATTAATTGTATCGTAGGAATTTAGTTAGTCGCCAGCTAAATGGAGGCAGATCTGTATGCCAGTTTGCTGTCAGTTGTGGAGGATATTAAGCCCCACCATCCACTGACACACGTCATTAAGAGATATTTTAAGAAAATAATGTGCACAGATAAATCAGTTATAATAAGCATTGCAACATTATGTAAAAAAAAAAAAAAAAACGAAAGAGAATTGCCTATTTGATTTTGATTTCATGATCTCCATCCCACACTTAAGTCTAACCATCGATGATGATGTGATTGCAGGGTCCAGGCGTTGGATCACTACCAAGGGGTCATGAGCAAGAGCTACAGCACGACCAAGAGCAACATTTCCAGGGGACTGAACAGGGCTTCCATCCGAAAACAGACACGGCGCATCCAGCGGTCCGTAAGCAGCTGGACTGATGTGGCCATGTCAAACATCCGCAAAGCCACTTAAAAGAGGCAAAGTTTTCCTTACTATCAAACATGTATGTTGTCTTGTGTTTCTCAGTATATGCCAGAAGAGGCCTTGTCCAGTATTTTAAATCTGTCTGTATCTTTTAATGGGCAGCAGCAACTGAATATACTGTATCACTACATGAAAACATTTTATTTTATAGCTGCTGATTTTTAGATAGTGTGCTTGACATATTGAAGCATTTATTTAAAATCGTTTCTGCTGTGAAAAGCCACCAAAAATATGTGAATACAAAACGTAAGCATATTAAAAAATGAATGTTTGGAAAGGTCAAATAATCAGGAAAAAATGCTAAAACAACCCATATTTAGGTTGTTGTTGTTTTCGTTTTGCAAAAATATCCAATATCACTACCGAACACTAAACTGACATGGTTAGATAGTGTCCTAACTGTGGGAGACGTTACTAATGTTACTGTTTACTAACCGTTTTAACCTATTTAGTTGAAGTTTATTAACAGTGTTTTACTGCTTTGGTACTTTACTGAGTGTACTGCAAGGCATTAGTATTTGTGTATCAGGAGGAAAAAATGCAAAGTATGCAATAATTTCACTGAGCAAATATTCTGCTATTGGTAATATTATGAAATACACCATAATCACAGATTGTACTCACAATATAGTCATCAATATGTAAACATTACCAAAGGATAAGAGAGGGAGTTTGTTTCAAAGCTAAAATGTTTACAGTAATATCACTTTTCATTATGATTTCTTTTAAAAGGACAAAAAAACAGAATTGTTTTTTATATATTTAATAAAAAAAAGTTTCCGTAATTAACTAATTTGATTGGTTTCTTACTTTTCATCATCATTTTATAAGCATCAGTGGGATTTTTCTTCACATCTCTTAGCACGTGAAGGGTTAAAGCTGCAAAGAATACGCTTGGATTTCCATTTTCTTCACTGACGTTAAATATCATCATATCGTCCAGCCCTAAAACTTTATAGCTTTTTTTTTGGTCAGTGTTTGATAAAAAAGATCAAATTATGCTGAATATGCAGTGATTAAGATTTAATTGATGAGTTTCTGACTTTATATCACACAATTCTGACTTTATAACTCGCAATTCTGACTTTATATCTCGCAATTCTGACTTTATATCACACAATTCTGACTTTATATCGCGCAATTCTGACTTTATAACTCGCAATTCTGACTTTATATCTCGCAATTCTGACTTTATAACTCGCAATTCTGACTTTATATCACACAATTCTGACTTTATATCACACAATTCTGACTTTATATCACACAATTCTGACTTTATAACTCGCAATTCTGACTTTATATCTCGCAATTCTGACTTTATATCGCGCAATTCTGACTTTATATCGCGCAATTCTGACTTTATATCACGCAATTCTGACTTTATATCACGCAATTCTGACTTTATATTTCACAATTCTGACTTTATATCGCGCAATTCTGACTTTATATCTCGCAATTCTGACTTTATATCTCGCAATTCTGACTTTATATCTCGCAATTCTGACTTTATATCTCACAATTCTGACTTTATATCACGCAATTCTGACTTTATATCTCACAATTCTGACTTTATATCACGCAATTCTGACTTTATATCTCACAATTCTGACTTTATATCGCGCAATTCTGACTTTATATCGCGCAATTCTGACTTTATATCTCACAATTCTGACTTTATATCGCGCAATTCTGACTATATCTCACAATTCTGACTTTATATCGCGCAATTCTGACTATATCTCGCAATTCTGACTTTATATCTCGCAATTCTGACTTTATATCTCACAATTCTGACTTTATAACTCGCAATTCTGACTTTATATCACGCAATTCTGACTTTATATCACGCAATTCTGACTTTATATCTCACAATTCTGACTTTATATCTCACAATTCTGACTTTATATCTCGCAATTCTGACTTTATAACTCGCAGTTGCGACTTTATATCACGCAATTCTGACTTTATATCTGGCAATTCTGACTTTATATCTCGCAATTCTGACTTTATATCTCGCAATTCTGACTTTATAACTCGCAATTCTGACTTTATAACTCGCAATTCTGACTTTATATCTCACAATTCTGACTTTATATCTCACAATTCTGACTTTATATCGCGCAATTCTGACTTTATATCTCACAATTCTGACTTTATATCTCACAATTCTGACTTTATAACTCGCAATTCTGACTTTATATCACGCAATTCTGACTTTATATCTCACAATTCTGACTTTATATCTCGCAATTCTGACTTTATAACTCGCAATTCTGACTTTATATCACGCAATTCTGACTTTATATCTCGCAATTCTGACTTTATAACTCGCAGTTGCGACTTTATATCACGCAATTCTGACTTTATATCTCGCAATTCTGACTTTATATCTCGCAATTCTGACTTTATATCTCACAATTCTGACTTTATAACTCGCAATTCTGACTTTATATCACGCAATTCTGACTTTATATCACGCAATTCTGACTTTATATCTCGCAATTCTGACTTTATATCTCGCAATTCTGACTTTATATCTCACAATTCTGACTTTATAACTCGCAATTCTGACTTTATATCACGCAATTCTGACTTTATATCACGCAATTCTGACTTTATATCTCGCAATTCTGACTTTATATTTCACAATTCTGACTTTATAACTCGCAGTTGCGACTTTATATCACGCAATTCTGACTTTATATCTCGCAATTCTGACTTTATATCTCGCAATTCTGACTTTATATCTCGCAATTCTGACTTTATATCTCGCAATTCTGACTTTATATCTCGCAATTCTGACTTTATATCTCGCAATTCTGACTTTATATCTCGCAATTCTGACTTTATATCTCGCAATTCTGACTTTATAACTCGCAATTCTGACTTTATATCACACAATTCTGACTTTATATCACACAATTCTGACTTTATATCACACAATTCTGACTTTATAACTCGCAATTCTGACTTTATATCTCGCAATTCTGACTTTATATCGCGCAATTCTGACTTTATATCGCGCAATTCTGACTTTATATCACGCAATTCTGACTTTATATCACGCAATTCTGACTTTATATTTCACAATTCTGACTTTATATCGCGCAATTCTGACTTTATATCTCGCAATTCTGACTTTATATCTCGCAATTCTGACTTTATATCTCGCAATTCTGACTTTATATCTCACAATTCTGACTTTATATCACGCAATTCTGACTTTATATCTCACAATTCTGACTTTATATCACGCAATTCTGACTTTATATCTCACAATTCTGACTTTATATCGCGCAATTCTGACTTTATATCGCGCAATTCTGACTTTATATCTCACAATTCTGACTTTATATCGCGCAATTCTGACTATATCTCACAATTCTGACTTTATATCGCGCAATTCTGACTATATCTCGCAATTCTGACTTTATATCTCGCAATTCTGACTTTATATCTCACAATTCTGACTTTATAACTCGCAATTCTGACTTTATATCACGCAATTCTGACTTTATATCACGCAATTCTGACTTTATATCTCACAATTCTGACTTTATATCTCACAATTCTGACTTTATATCTCGCAATTCTGACTTTATAACTCGCAGTTGCGACTTTATATCACGCAATTCTGACTTTATATCTGGCAATTCTGACTTTATATCTCGCAATTCTGACTTTATATCTCGCAATTCTGACTTTATAACTCGCAATTCTGACTTTATAACTCGCAATTCTGACTTTATATCTCACAATTCTGACTTTATATCTCACAATTCTGACTTTATATCGCGCAATTCTGACTTTATATCTCACAATTCTGACTTTATATCTCACAATTCTGACTTTATAACTCGCAATTCTGACTTTATATCACGCAATTCTGACTTTATATCTCACAATTCTGACTTTATATCTCGCAATTCTGACTTTATAACTCGCAATTCTGACTTTATATCACGCAATTCTGACTTTATATCTCGCAATTCTGACTTTATAACTCGCAGTTGCGACTTTATATCACGCAATTCTGACTTTATATCTCGCAATTCTGACTTTATATCTCGCAATTCTGACTTTATATCTCACAATTCTGACTTTATAACTCGCAATTCTGACTTTATATCACGCAATTCTGACTTTATATCACGCAATTCTGACTTTATATCTCGCAATTCTGACTTTATATCTCGCAATTCTGACTTTATATCTCACAATTCTGACTTTATAACTCGCAATTCTGACTTTATATCACGCAATTCTGACTTTATATCACGCAATTCTGACTTTATATCTCGCAATTCTGACTTTATATTTCACAATTCTGACTTTATAACTCGCAGTTGCGACTTTATATCACGCAATTCTGACTTTATATCTCGCAATTCTGACTTTATATCTCGCAATTCTGACTTTATATCTCGCAATTCTGACTTTATAACTCGCAATTCTGACTTTATAACTCGCAATTCTGACTTTATAACTCGCAATTCTGACTTTATAACTCGCAATTCTGACTTTATATCTCACAATTCTGACTTTATATCTCACAATTCTGACTTTATATCTCACAATTCTGACTTTATATCTCACAATTCTGACTTTATATCTCACAATTCTGACTTTATATCTCACAATTCCGACTTTATATCTCACAATTCTGACTTTATAACTTGCAATTCTGACTTTATATCGCGCAATTCTGACTTTATATCACGCAATTCTGACTTTATAACTCGCAATTCTGACTTTATATCTCGCAATTCTGACTTTATATCGCGCAATTCTGACTTTATAACTCGCAATTCTGACTTTATATCTCGCAATTCTGACTTTATATCGCGCAATTCTGACTTTATAACTCGCAATTCTGACTTTATATCACCCAATTCTGACTTTATATCTCACAATTCTGACTTTATATCACGCAATTCTGACTATCACGCAATTCTGACTTTATAAATCGCAGTTGCGACTTTATATCACGCAATTCTGAGAAAAGAAGTCAGAATTGTGAGATAAAAAGTCTCAATTATTTATTTTATTTTTATATTCAGTGGCGGAAACAAGCTTCCATACTTGACTCTCATCCCTAAAGAAAAGAGCCAAGCGAGAGCAGAACTCTCTCTCCACGTCCATATCAGTGAGTGTATTCAGCTCCCTCAAGCCGAACACACTCGCTCTACTCCAATTGGCAAGACAGGAGCCTTCAAAGAGGATGCAGTGCCAAGGGAGAGATAGCTCACAAGCAACTCCTCAACCCAGGGCAGCCTCGCGTATCGGTGCTCATACCCGGCCCCTCCACTCGAGACTACTCTACTAAAGACACTCCAAACCCTAACCCCTCTAACTATAAACTATGAGTGCATCCAACTCATTTGGGAGCCAAACGCACTCCATTCAGACACTCGATTATATCCCTCGAGAGAAAATCATGCAAGAACAGAGCTCTTATCTTCACACACACATTAACAAATCAGCTTCAATCCTGAGGACAAAAAAGCTCATGATGTGTAAAGC